TGGTCCAAAATTAAACTTTGTTTGATTTCAACAAAAATTGAATATATGGGGTTCTTTGATATGCTGAATCTAACCATGTATTTAGATTTTTGATTTTTGGGCCCCGTTATTAACTTTGTCCACATTGAGGTCAAAAGGGTCCAAAATTAAACTTTGTTTGATTTCATCAAAAATTGAATTCTTGGGGTTCTTTGATATGCTGAATCTAACCATGTATTTAGATTTTGGATATTGGACCATAATAGGTGAATGTCCAATTTAAAATTTTTAAGTTCTTAGACCACATTCAATCTGTGTTAGAAACCTATGCTGTGTCAAATATTTAATCACAATCCAAATCCAAAGCTGTATCAAGCTTGAATGTTGTGTCCATACTTCCCCCAACTGTTCAGGGTTCGACCTCTGCGGTCGTATCAAGCTGCGCCCTGCGGAGCATTTTATTAAAATTGGAGTTATCTTCCTTTGTCCATGATTACAGTTGAATCAACTACAATCAATGCTTTAAATATACAATGCAATGTTTAATTTTGCCTTCCACTGATAAAACACAGATCAAGTTGAATTTGGGTAGTGTTACTTTAACCATTATTGAGTTATGCCTCTTTATAAATCGAAAAATTGCAAAATTTTTAGTTTCCATTCTGTAACTTAAGTTTGCCCCAACCAAACATAATGAAACCTATACACAATACTCATTACCACAAAACTAAGATCAAGTACAAATATTGTTTCCGTTCTCTAACTTTAGTTTGTCTCAACCAAATGTTATGAAACTTATACACAATGCTTATTACTACATAATACAGATTAAGTACGAAATTCGGTGGCGTCACTTTTACCATTCTTGAGTTATGTCCCTTTTTAAACATAAAAATTGCTGAATTTTTCGTTTCCGTTCTCTTACTTTAGTTTGTCTCAACCAAATGTTATAAAACTTATACACAACCGTTCTAGAGTTATGCGTGTTTACAAATAGAAAAATTGCTGAATCTTTCGTTTCTGTTCTCTACTTAAGTTAGCCTCAACCAAATGTTATGAGACTTACACACAATGCTTATTACCACAAAACTCAGATCAAGTTCAAATTTTGGTAGCGTGACTTTTACTGTTCTTCAGTTATGTCCCTTTATAACTATATGATATGCAAGCGGGGGCATCATCTGTGGTCACATGTGGACACAATCCACATTTATTTTTACATGAATTACTAGGTTTGTTTTAGGCCAGAGCTTACTTACACAAGCACCAACAAATAATAATGGAATGACATTTTGTTCAGTTGTATAGTTGTAACCACCATATTGATCTCATAGCAGCATGCTCCTTCCTTTAGTGCCAAAGTTTAATGCATTTTCTATTCCTGGCCAGGTCAATTCAAAGACTTCAATAGCTGTATTTATGACTTATGTTAGCTTCAGATTTTATGAACAAACTAGGGAAACACATCATATATGTAACTATATATGCACTTGTCTATAGGTACAATAGTTAATTAGATGTCTTGAAATTGAAATCATTATAGTTCATTATTACACACATATACCTGGTTTAGCTACAAAATGTATGTGTGTTTTTAAGACTTTAACCTTGAAACTAAAATAAATGATTTAAATTATGATGTAATAAAATGATTAGGAGAGTTTTAAAAAAAAGAAAGGTATTTGGAAAATAGATATATATGTATTTTCATATTTTACCCAAATTGAAATTTGGTCAATGAAAATTAAAGGCTGTGTTCCATCAAATCAGCTTGCTTAAATTGTTGTACATACTTCTTTAAATATGAAAATCTGTCATAAATATACAAAAAAAGTCATGTATACGGTTGAATCTTACTGAAATTCAATGCAAAAGTTTTTATCTGACATTGAAAAAAGATGAAAAATATTAAAACTTTTTTTTCAAAAGGCAATCCTTTAGCTTTTATTAGTCAAACAAATAAATTTACAAAAGATTAATGAAAAGGTAACATATTAGAATAAAAAGAAAAACTTAATGATATGCCTTTTACACCATGTACACTTCAATTGAATTTAAAAAAAATCTTATGTTAACAAACTTTTTTTAGAAATTTATTGTCTAATTTATGTATGTAGAAAAATTGATAAGTTTCTTTAAAACGTTTTTCAGTGAAATGAAAAGAAGTTAAACATCAAAGCGACTGGCTACTGACCAAACATTTCTATACATAGTTTTCAAATGCAAAGAGATATAGTTTATAGCTGACACTTTTACTTTTACTTCACATTTTATTGGTTTATAAGTCAATATACATAGTTATTGCACAGGAGAAGCAGCTCTCGATTGATTACCACTGTATCTTTAAAACGGGAGTTTAGACCATAATATTTCATAGGACGGGACTATATATTGCCATGTGACAATCAGATAGGATTTTTTTCCAGTTAAATAGCTTAACATAGAGAGGTGCTGCCAGCCCTGACAGATCTATGTTTACCTGTATGTTTACCTGTAAGGAGCCTTGGTTCCATTCAGTAGGAATTTGTTGAATTAATCAGGTATAAAGAAGAACAATAGTTACCTATAACCTACAGATTAGTGGCAATATTTTACAAATCATTTTACTAATACAACTTAAATTTATTTTTAAAAGTTTCAAATATGTATCTGTTTGAGGATAAATGTCAGTAGTAAACTTGCGATATTTTATTAAAATTTCTAGATAGTGGAATTTAAATCGTTTTTCTCAGAGAACTGTATGTTTTTTTGATTGGATTTTAATCATGTAGGAATAAATGCTAAAGTGGAATTGGATTGTATTGGAACAACTAATTTGTGATGATAGTAAAATATACATGTTTGAAAACTCTTCTGATGAAGTTGAGGATAAAATAGAATTAATTTTCACAAGAGAAACAATGAAAGTGACTGACAGGTAGTACTGGACAATTTTGTCATGTTACATTTGGAAATAGTTGGATCGAACCCGAGGCCTTATGGGCAAGGCAGAATAGGATATACAGAACGATCAGCCAGTGTCACTCCAACACCTCGTAGTAGGGCAACCCTACTACCAGTTACTCCAAGGTAGGTCCAAATATTTTCAACAACAAAAACAGAAAAAAACTTATTTCCATATTTTCTGTATAAGTTTCATAATAAACCAAATTTAAGAAAGGTTAGAAAAAATATGAAGTTGCAATTTAAAAAAAAAAATTAAAATTTTTAACCCTTCCAGAGTTGATGGAAATGAAATTGTTCGATTTATTTTTTTTACATACAAAGCATATGTCATGTATATACTTATGTGTACATATATATTTGTGTTCCCAGAGTAAGGGAAAATAGGAATTGTGACACTTAGTTGCTAACAAACTATTTGAACATATATATATTTACCTTCCCTAAATTCAGGAAAAGTTGAATTGTGTAGACTTGTATTTGCAGACAAAATATCTAAACACATATACATGATATTTTAATTTTATAAATCTAATGTTTGGACCGGTAGGTGAAAGTTGAATATTTTTTGTGACAAAATCATGATACTAACAATTTCAGATATGAGATATGTTAAATTGTTTTGAAGTGATATATATATTTTATTATCTTTTTAGTTTATGGTAATTTTTTATAGACTAGTATATTTAGGATTATTTTAATTGGTTATGAAGAGATTTTTTTCTTATTGAATTTTTAATGAATAATGAAAAAAAGTCTTGATATAGTTGATTTTATGTAGCGTTATTTTTTTGTTCAATAAATTATTACATACATACATGTATAATCTTTTATACTTGCATGCTATCTTCTTTTGGAAAAAGAATATTCAAATATATATTACTACAGAGAATATTGTACACAATTATTTTTTCAATTAAGTAAAAAGCTAACATGGATTTTATAAAAACCATGTACATTATATTTATTTTTATATGTATTTAAGAACATGTTAGTTGAAACTACAAATCAGTTTGTCCCTTTCTCTAAGATTGTATAATCAACATAGATCAGTCAACCTAGACCATGATTTATTCACTAGTTCTTTGTACCAAACCTTCAAATAGAAAAATCTCAAGCACAGATTAAAGTATTAATTTCTTTATCCGGACTAAATTTACCATTTGGATTATGAAAATGTATACCTAAAAGTACTTAATAAATTACATAACAGTGTTTCATTATAGGTTTGGTTCAAGGTACTGAAATAAAGTGGGTTTTGTTTTGCAGGAAAAATAACAAATCTTATTATGCAATTTGTAACCTTATTCATGTTCAACATGAAAAATAGAAATACATCTCGTCTTAAATACTTACAGGCACATGCGATTTGTGATTATGATCTTTAAACAATTTAAATTGCATAATTAAATATCATAAAATACTGCTTTTTATTTGTAATAGAATGTGGGAAGTTCAATCACTAAATTTTTAATACATATATTTGGAATCCAATATAGGAAAAAAAGGATAATTAAATACACAGTTGAAATAAAGCACCATAATTTCATCAGTGAATTCAAATTGGTTAAAAAAAAAGAAAATATACCAGGGGTAAATCAGACAGAAGTGATCTTCAATCTTGACAATATCTGTCACTACATGTACATTTCATCCACAAAACTTATTGGATATATATTAAAGGGTAATTAAATAAAGCTTGTTGTCATATGTACATCCATCAAAAAGGCTTTTATTTCATATTGCTTTGAATTTGGGAAACAAATTTTAAAATTCTAAATCTACAAAATAAGTCTGAAAGATCTTCATCAGTATTTATAGTTGTGTATTTTGTCTTACATATTTGCTGTAGGGCTTCATCTCTCATTGAATGAAAAATTGCAAAAACTGCCAAATAGTTAGATTTTTATCTTAATATAATTGATATTTAGATATGAAGCACAGTCCTAACCCAAAAGATATTTTGCTACAATGTCTTATCCAAAAAGGTTGATGTAGGTAAACAAATTGTTGATAAGGTTCATATTTAATTCAGCAAAAACCAGGTATAAAATTGTTCTTCTAGGTCAAATATGTCAAATTACATATGCATATGATATGTTAGTGACAGCCCAGAGGTTGTTTCTGCATTGAGTGTCCAGATTATATCAATTTGTCTTTTATCAATAAAATAAAAATAGTTTTGAAAGGATTGAAAAAAGTTAAGTTTTGCAATTTCAGGGACCAAATAATGACTTTTAGATCTCAATATCTAAGTGAGAAGGCAATAAAGTAAACATTATCTATTCATTCCATAAAAGAAATTTTAAGAAAATCCTTCATGACTCTTGATCCTGTACAAAAAATTATTTGATCAGTCTGCTGTTAATTGTGTTTGTTCTGACAGTTCTTCAGTCTGATGCTAGTATTGTCAGCCATTCATGTCAGTTTGAAGTTAATGAATTTTAAAATATTTTGAATAATTAACATTCAGTCATGATTCTGCAGTGTATGGTATCATTGAGTCTAACAAATTTTACTCACTCTGGTGTTAAGGCTCTGAAGTCCTTGTAACAACATTTACCTGCCTTACAGTCATAAAATTATTATGGAACTCTAACTAAAAAAATCATGTTGTTTATTGAGTCTACCTCACAAACATCAAGTCAGTCTAGTGTTTATTGAGTCTACCTTACAAACATCAAGTCAGTCTAGTGTTCATTGAGTCTACCTTACAAACATCAAGTCAGTCTAGTGTTTATTGAGTCTACCTTACAAACATTAAGTCCGTCTAGTGTTTATTGAGTCTACCTTACAAACATCAAGTCAGTCTAGTGTTCACGGAGTCTATCTTACAAACATCAAGTCAGTCTAGTGTTCATTGAATCTACCTTACAAACATCAAGTCAGTCTAGTGTTTATTGGGTCTGCCTTACAAACATCAAGTCAGTCTAGTGTTCACAGAGTCTACCTTACAAACATCAAGTCAGTCTAGTGTTCACTGAGTCAACCTTACAAACATCAAGTCAGTCTAGTGTTCATTGAGTCTACCTTACAAAGATCAAGTCAGTCTAGTGTTCATTGAGTCTACCTTACAAACATCAAGTCAGTCTAGTGTCCACTGAGTCAACCTTACACACATCAAGTCAGTCTAGTGTTCATTGAGTACCTTACAAACATCAAGTCAGTCTGGTGTTCATTGAGTCTACCTTACAAACATCAAGTCAGTCTAGTGTTTATTGAGTCTACCTTACAAACATCAAGTCGGTCTAGTGTTTATTGAGTCTACCTTATAAACATCAAGTCAGTTTAGTGTTCATTGAGTCTACCTTACAAACATCAAGTCAGGCTAGTGTTTATTGGGTCTGCCTTACACACATCAAGTCAGTCTAGTGTTCATTGAGTCTACCTTACAAACAACAAGTCAGTCTAGTGTTCACTGAGTCAACCTTACACACATCAAGTCAGTTTAGTGTTCATTGAGTCTACCTTACAAACATCAAGTCAGTCTAGTGTTCACTGAGTCAACCTTACACACATCAAGTCAGTTTAGTGTTCATTGAATCTACCTTACACACATCAAGTCAGTCTAGTGTTCATTGAGTACCTTACAAACATCAAGTCAGTCTGGTGATCATTGAGTCTACCTTACAAACATCAAGTCAGTCTAGTGTTTATTGAGTCTACCTTACAAACATCAAGTCAGTCTAGTGTTTATTGGGTCTGCCTTACAAACATCAAGTCAGTCTAGTGTTCATTGAGTTTACCTTACAAAAATCAAGTCAGTCTAGTGTTTATTGGGTCTGCCTTACACACATCAAGTCAGTCTAGTGTTCATTGAGTCTACCTTACAAACATCAAGTCAGTCTAGTGTTCATTGGTTCTGTAATACATGTACATAATTTACTAAGATACTGTTCATGATTTTGTCTTACAAACATTTTCTTACCCCTCCTATCTATGGAATAGTCACTTATTTAAAAAGAGAGGCTAAAGATACCAAAGGGACATTCAAACTTATAATTCAACATCTGGTAATTCAGTTTGACTGTTTGGTCAGATGACTATAAATTTATCTTACAAACACTATAACATCTAAGACTTGAATCCTCTAAAGAAAGTTTACTTGGATAACTTTAGTATTTATGGGTTTGATTTTTTGAAAACAGAACAAAGTCATGCATTGATGTAGAAAAAGTATGATATCTTGCATTAATAATGTGTTTTCTCAAACATTGATAAATTATCATATAACAGATTCTTTGCTACTGTTTTCTATCAAATTGACAGTTGACATAAACTAACTAAGCTATAAAGAGTTTCACATCAAGTAAGCAGCTTTACTAAAGTTCTGATACTCAAAATGTTCAATTATTATAGTATGATAAAAAATAAATCACCATGCTCCTGAAAATAAAAATAAGTTTTAGTAGTCACAGTATTCAAGCTTTCCAGTAATGAAATAATGTTCTGTGTGATTGTTTTTTTTTTATTAATATTATGCCATATAATGCCATGATAGAAATGCATACAGCAAAGACATTCTCAATAGTTCACAGAATTTATTATTTGATTTTTAGTCATTCTACAATGCTCAATTCATTTATTTCTCCTGTAACGCAAAGAATAGGAAAACAGTTCTGGAATTGTCACTTAACCGTGGTAAACAATTTGTGACCGCAACAATTTTACAAATACTGTACTGTTTCCTTATAGATGGTTCTTGACAGTGGTCTTTGTTGGTAACAAGATGATTTTTGTTTTTTAAAGAGCTTTATATTGATGGCAGATCTCTGGCTGTTGTCTAGACAAGGAGAGCTTGACATACAGTATACCTCTTGTTTAATCCATCTAAATGTTAGGTTTTATGGTATTGTTGAACCTAACAGTTTGGTTTCTGTCTCATTAATGTATAATGTGCCTCTCCTTTTATTTATATATCAGAACAGGGTCTGATAGATTTTAACTCAGACTAATATTTGAGCAATCATTCAATGTTCGTGTCTCTTTCTTGCATCAATCAAATTTGATAATTTGATTTCTTTCCAATAAGTTAGAAAATGGCTTTCTTGCAGTCAAAACTATCATCCATGCATTGATCTTCTGCAATGGTGCACATAAAAAATAAGTTATGTAATGAAAGTTGAAAGAACCTCTATGTTAATGGGTTATTTGTTAATTATTGATGGAGTAATAGCTGGCACCAAATAAATGATGTAATTATTGGAATAAATTCATCAAAGTATTGAACCAAAACTTTAATTTATAGCACAAAAATAAATATATACATTATCAAATTCTAAAGATTTATGGGCAGAACTTGAGAATAATTGATATTTTAAAGTCTCATAAAATTATCGATATATATTTACATTTCATACAGGTACAGTTAAAATATATGTGAAATAATTTATAACTTGAAGTTTCTCATGAAGTTAACATTAAAAAAAAAAGTTGTTAAAAAGTCACAATGGCTTTGTGAGAACTACTAAAACACCTGCCATTACTTCTACATGGATAGACAAAAAATATGAGTTTACATGAAAGCAAAAAAGTTCCTTGTTTAAATTCTTAGAATTAAAATGCAGTACAGTTACTTCTTTATTTTACAGACATTTAACAAGGACTTGATCTAAAACTACTCTAATCTTGCACCAGTTGGATTGTTTGTTCTGTTCTATAGGACTTGATCTAAAACTACTCCCACCTTGCATCAGTTGGATTGTTTGTTCTGTTCTATAGGACTTGATCTAAAACTACTCCCACCTTGCATCGGTTGGATTGTTTGTTCTGTTCTATAGGACTTGATCTAAAACTACTCCCACCTTGCATCAGTTGGATTGTTTGTTCTGTTCTATAAGGACTTGATCTAAAACTACTCCCACCTTGCATTAGTTGGATTGTTTTTTCTGTTCTATAGGATTTCTTGTTTCAAGTTTGTACAAATGTGAAATAAGACATACTCTACAAATATTTCTAGAAGAGAGAGAGTTTTGTGTAGATATATTATTGTTGTTACAAAATGAACACGGTAATAGAGAGAAATTGTCTTTAAAAATGTACATCATACATTATATTTTTATGCCCCCGCCATAGCGGAGGGGGCATTAAGTTTTACCCTTGTCCGTCCATATGTACGTCCCAAAGTTGGTTTCCGTTCTCTAACTTTAGTTTGCCACAACCAAATGTTATGAAACTTATACACAATGCTTATTACTATTATTATTACCAGAAAACACACATCAAGTTTGAATTTTGGTGGCGTCACTTTAACTATTTTAGACTTATGCCCCTTAACAAATGGAAAAAACTGCTTCGCCGAGCGCAGCTGGATACGACCACAGAGGTCCAACCCTGAACAGTTGGGGCAAGAATGGACACAATATTCAAGCTTGATACAGGTCTGAATTTGGATTGTAATTAAATATTTGACACATTATAGGTTTCTGACACAGAATAAATGTAGTCAAAGAACTTGAAATTGGTTGTATGATTTGAATTTATATTCAATTGAAGATTTCTTGCTGTTGTGCAATATACTGTGCTGTTGCACAATACTTAGTAAATCTGTTTTCAGACTATATACAAACTAATTAGCAAAATAAATTGTGACCCCCAATTTTTTTCTTTGGAAAATTGACAATTTCTTAAATCTTGAGGAAAAAAAAAAATTGCCCCCCCCCCCCCCCCCAAAAAAAATAAAATAAAATTTAACCCCTATCCCCCCTTTCCCAAAAAATTAATTTTGAAAAAATTTTCTTTTTGTAAAATGTGGTACAAATTAAGAGACATCCATACACTTAAACACAAGTTATTGTCTGAAAACTAGAAAAATGCTTGTTTTAGACCCTTTTTGGCCCCTAATTCCTGAACGGTTTGGGCAATTACCCCCAAAATGACTCCCAACCTTCTACTTGTGGTATTGAACCTTGTGGTACAATTTCAGAGCAATCAAAATACTTATACACAAGTTATTGTCCTGAAACTAGAAAAATGCTTGTTTTGGCCCCTAATTCCTAAACGGTTGGGACCATCACCCCCAAAAACTATCCCAACCTTCCTTTTGTGGTATTGAACATTTTGATTAAATTTCATAGAGATCCATACACTTAAACTAAAGTTATTGTCCTGAAACCAAATGTCTTCGGACGACGCTGACACCGACAATGTGATACACGACCGCAAAAAATTTGTATAAAAATTTAATTTTTCGTTTCCGTTCTCTAACTTTAGTTTGCCTCAACCAAATGTTATGAAACTTATACACAATGCTTATTACCACAAAACACAGATCAAGTTTGAATTTTGGTGGTGTCACTTTAACAGTTCTAGTGTTATATGCCCGTTTACTAATGGAAAAATTGCTGAATTTTTCGTTTCTGTTCTCTAACTTAAGTTAGCCTCAACCAAATGTTATGAAACTTATACACAATGCTTATTACCACAAAACACAGATCAAGTTTGAATTTTGGTGGTGTCACTTTAACAGTTCTAGTGTTATGCCCGTTTACTAATGGAAAAATTGCTGAATTTTTTGTTTCTGTTCTCTAACTTAAGTTAGCTTCAACCAAATGTTATGAAACTTATACACAATGCTTATTACCACAAAACACAGATCAAGTTTGATTTTTGGTGGTGTCACTTTAACAGTTCTAAAGTTATGTCCCTTTATAACTTTTATATGATATGCCAGTGTGGGCATCATGTGTGTCCCATGGACACATTCCCCATTTATTTTCTTATACATAGCTTTTTGAGGCTAAAATTTATATATTAAAAGTAAAATTTTCAGCATGTTCTTTTCTTTAAAAAAACCCAAAGCACTGAAGAAAATATTGATGGATGACTGCTTATATTTCAGTTAATGTCCATTGGGAAATATTAGATGCATTTTCATGATTTTTAAATGTTGATATAATAATCATATGAAATATCCTGCCTTGTATAGGACTGGCATGCTGAGTTATATTTTTGATTGGCTAGCTAACAGCCTACAGCAAAATATGTCACCCAGCTGTGACTCTTAAGTTGCACAGTCTTTGCTCTAACACCTAAATGCCACATGCTTGACAGAGAAGTAGCAAATGCTACTTTTAAAGTCTTTGGTTTGATCCGGCATGGGATCAAACCGACAGTCCCCCCACTGCGGATGTGCATGCTTAATGATACCACAAGGCAATTCATTGAAAAGGAAAGAAAAGGGGAAAAAATTTCAACCAATTACTTAATAATCTTGCCATTTTCTAGTATGTTACATTTAAGGATTTTAAAATAAGTTTTTCTTGTTGAAGTGCAATCATGTTATGCTTTTAAAAGATACCCAAATCTTAAGACATAACCTTATTTTTTTGTGTTTGATTGATTTGGAATTTCAAAGTATTAGAGCATTAAAGTTGCTTGAATTTAAGCTTTATAATTGTAATATCTTTTTCCATCTTTGTCAAGCAAATTATTTAGAAGTTGACAACAGAGAGAACCAGTTGTTTAAATACATGCTATAGAAAAACTTTCTTTTCTTCCAAAGAATTGGTGTCTATAACATTAGTTATATATTGAAAATGTTAGAAGATAAAATTCAGAGATAAATTTTGGAAATTTGACACAGGTCCTTTTTTATTAAATATTGTAAATTATGACCAGTACAATATAGTGGTCAATTAAAACCTATATAAATCAATAAGCAAGGAGTTATGTCAACATATTCATCTTCTTTGTTTGTCAGGGAATATTTACAATACCATAACATGAACTGGCCATTTACCACCAAATCACAACTATAAAAGATTTGTGATGTGTATTGAGCTATATATCTTTTTATGATAAATTTGATTGATTGTTGATTTAAGTTGGATGAATTTCAATGCTATCTCTGTATGTCAAAAACAGACATATATCAAAATCAACAAGTTAGTTCAATAAGAAAAAATCGGTGTTCTCTCGTGGTGGGAAGGTCATTGTAGATCTATAACAACCATACAATTTACTTCTTTACAAATTAAATCTTTATTTTAAATAGTTCCTTCATATTTTATTATAAGGGTATTAAATGTTAAAATTTGGTCTTTAGTCAAAATAAAAACACTTGTTTTGAAAGTCAAGATATGAGTCTTTAACCTATTTACATTTTATTTCTTTTGTGCTCTAATACCTCTTCTATCTTAAA